GAGTGCAATGACATGATCTTGGCTTATGGCAACCTCCGACTCCCAGGTTCAAGCAATTCTCCTGCCTCAGCCTCCCGAGTACATCCTCCTGGGATTACAGGCATGTGCCACCACACCCAGCTAATTTTTGTATTTTTAGTAGAGACAAGTTTTCACCATGTTGGCCAGGCTGGTCTCGAACTCCTGAGCTCAGGTGATCTGCCCGCCTTGGCCTCCCAAAGTGCTGGGATTACAGGCCTAAGCCACCACGCCCAGTGAAAAATGTGCCCTTTCAAGAGTCAGCATGCGTGTTGCTAGATGGCTTAAGTGACCACCTTACCAATTCCGAAAGAATTGAGATGTGGGACCTCTGTCCTCTCCTCAATCAGTCCTTTGTCTCTATTTCCATAGTTGTCACTCTGGTTAGGGACTTAACCACTTCTTGCTTAGCATGGATTGCCCCTTTCCTTTCCACACCAGCACCAGGCTAACCCTCTGGAAAGTTCCCTCCTCATGCCATTCTCCCCCTCACAAATCTTCATGGGCTCCCACTGCTCACAGGTAAGATACATACTCCCCAGCCTGTCAGGCCACTCCCTCCACAGCCGAATCCCAGTACCCAATCCCAGGTGCCTTCCTGCCTCTGTGCTTTGGTTCCTGCCCTCTCCCACTGCAGTGCCCTCCTCTCTTCTCCATGCACGGTTAGATTCACCTTTTGCTCTCCGTGACACCCTTTCATGTCACCAAAGCCCATAGTTCATTTAAAAAAAAAATTCAACCCACCATCTATCCATTTATCCTTCCCTTCATTACATTCAAAACATTTAGCAAATGTTTTCCTTTTACTGAGTACTTATGAGTCAAGCATTGTGCTAGATTCTATGGAAGCAAAAATAAGTTAGTCATACTTCCCATCCTGGAGGGATTTACAGTCTAATAGAATAAATACCAGCTGCCATTTAGTTTGCACATATTATACACTAGCTATAGTACGAAGCATTTAACATATTTTGTCACAAATTATCTTCACAATAACACAATATGAGAGGTATTATAATTATAATCTTGATTTTATTGATGATAAAACAGAGGCTTAGCGGGGTCAGGTTATCTATCCGTGGTTACTTGGGTGGCAATCAGCAGAGTCAGGAATGAGAGTCTATAAAAACCTGCTCTGATGTGCGCCCTTGGAACACACTTCCTCTCACCATACCACTCACCTTCCTCTCCCTCTCTCTCTCTACCTTTCCCTTTCTGCTGTCTCTGAGTTCACAGCATTCGGCAATTGTTCGTGTACTGTATGTTTTCTCCTTGCATTTCTTAACTTGTTATGTAACTTTGGTGTGCACTTATTTCATATTTCTTCAGTTAGATCTGTAAATGCTGGGCCGGGCGTGGTGGCTCACACCTATAATCCCAGCACTTTGGGAGGCCAAGG